CCTGAGTCCAGCTCCTGCATCCCGTCCCTGTCAGCTGCCCAGTCCAGCCTGGGACTGCCCCAGTGCCAGCCCTGCAGTGTCAGTGGTGACGTATCATCATCACTGTGGGGGGAGCTGGGTTCGGTATCGGGTTTGTATCTATTTGTACATATTGTATAGATTTCATTATTTCCTTATTCTTATTATTATCTTTTATTGTTATTGTTTCATTAAAGCTGTTTTAGTTTTCTTTTCCAAACCGTAAAGTCTCTCTCTCCCTTGTTCTCTCTCCTTTTCCCTTTTTGGGAGGGAAGAGGGGTTAATAGAGAGCGTCTGTCATTCGTGAGTGGCCGGCCCAGCCTCAACCCACGACAGATTTATTGGCCTCAAACCGTGACACCGGGGGACGTGGGTCCCTGTCCCTCTAGCAGAGAGGAGGGCGCACGAGGGATGGGCGCAGGGCCACAGCAGCGCCTGCAAACAGAGCAACACTCACAGCGGCAGCAGCCTCAACTGGGAGAGCTTCGAGCTCCGGACGTGCTGGGCGCCCTGCAGTGAAACTGAGAAGAGCTGCAGATCCTCGGCGTGTCTGGAACACGTTTGGGTTGAGTATCCGGATTTGGGAGCCAACAAGCAGGTGAGAGAGGAGGAAGGTTGGATCCTGATCCCCAGCAAAGAAAAAGGAACATGAGGATGCACAATGAGAGAGGGAATTAATTAGGGAGAGCATCTGTTTTCGCCAGCGGGACAGAAGTCATTTCACAGCAAGACTTTGGCCACAGTGCCTAACAGCGGCTGGTCCAGAGCATGTTCAAGGGTTAGAAGAAACTAAAAAAAGAAGAATTTACATAACTAATTTCTGGGGTTTTTTTATAAGCTATGTACTGCATGAACAACCTTCCATTTTCACAATTAAAATAACTGAAAAAGGGAGGAATCCAAGTTATTACCCTATTACAAGCACCAGCCGCCTCCTGATTGATAGACCATAAGGCAACAGAAGAACAAATAACTAAACACTAAGTATTTAATCGTAGCTTTTATTACATGAAAGCGAGTCATGGTTCATTTTCCAAGCAATGGACGGTTGAATAGCTGCAGCCAGCCCGCCGAAGTTCTCGGTACGGAACTAGTCCAGCAGATGCATCCTGCGACGCGTCGCCGCTGGAGAAATCCTCAGCGGACTGGGTGGAAATCCTCCAAAAGCTCTCCTATCCTTTTCTTTTCTACAAAAGGCAAGGGGTGGAGTTGTGAAAACCTGATCAGCGTTTGACATCGACTCTGAAGATTTTTAATACGAAGCCTTAAGGTCAACAAAGCCACCAAAAACGTGGGTTTTGCTACCAACAGCGAGCTATTAGCTCGCTGCACGAACTAAAGACGTAACTTCTTTTCCATAGGCCCGACCTGCAGATCCCCGCAAAGAGATCTCGATCCTAACAGCTCTTTATTTCTACAGATTCCTTCTGAAATGGCGCCACGTGGATTACAATCCAACAGCCAGAGTCACCTGACTGTATTTTATTAGAAAACCAACAATTTTCACCAAAATTGCACTGCTGGGCTTAGTGACTACGTTTAGGAAGACTCTCTTCTTCACCAAGGCTCTGAGCCGACAGCACTGCAGTTTTCCTGCCTATTTGTGCTGTTTTCACCCGCTCTGCTTATTTTCTGAACATTCATCACACCATTTTTGAGTCAACGCGTGCCGCCATTTTACAAGAAGAAACAGTAAAATGGTGATTTTACAAGAACAGGACCTCTCATTTCTAATTTGTTTCTCTTCAGTGGCACAAGCTTGGCCTATACTCTATTTTTTTGGCTCTACCATTTTTATATGAAAACATGCTGTCAGGAGGAAGAGTTGGTCGTCAAGGCAGCGGATCAGCTCCATAAAAAGATCTATTTTCCTATCATAAAATCCTTCATACTGTTGCAATTCAGAACGTGAATAAGCAGGGGAGCTAGCAGCCAGCGTGCCTTGCTAGAAAAGAACAGATTCTGCCAGTGGCCCAGCAACACCTTTACAAACATCAGCACTTGTTAACTGGTACGTTACGGCAGGCCAAGGTCTTTTTTTTAAAAATACCACCGTGCAGCACCTGCTGCCTTGAAGTCTTCCGGGTGCTGCCTGACGTACTCGAACAGCTCTCTGTCCACCTTGGCGTGGATGTACTCCGCACGCTTGGTAAGGTAATAGCCAACGAACCACCCCACGGTGGCGAACAGGATCTGGCGGTGAACGCCTGCAGCAGGAGGAGGAGGAGGGATGTCCCCATCTCAGCCCATCTCCCGGTCCCAGGTGGCCCCCTGCTTTCTCCAGCCACCACTCTCTTTAGCTCCACGTGCTCCAGCTCCTCTCTCCCTGCTTCGCCCCCATGGTCGGCCCCCTCATGGCCCTACAGCACCCTCACTTGCAGACCTCCCATGGCCACTTCCCACTCCTCAAATCCCCTCCAGCCCCATACAATGCCCCTTTCCCCAGCCCCCTCCGATTACCTCCAATACCCCCCCGCCA